GTTTGATGTTCATTTGATAATGTTCGATTTGTTAACAAATTGTTTGCGAATAGTTTAATGTTCGTTCGATAATGTTTGATTCGATCGATAACAAATTATTTGTGAATAGTTTGATGTTTGTTTAATAATATATTTGATTCGAGTTTGAGCATAAGATATTCGTTCGATTATGTTCGCGAATATACTGTATTCTATTGATTCATTCATTCGTGAACAATTTGTTTGATTATTCGTTTGTTTATGTTCGAAAAACATGGTATATATTATTATATATATATTTATATTTTTTCATTTTTTTGTCTTTTTATATTATATTTGGTTTAGTTTGAATGATTTTTTTTTTAATGGTAATCAATAATAAATTATTATGATACATGACAAATTTAATAATATAATAGATTGTATAATCAAGTGATATATAAAGTAATAAATCTAATAACATAATTTTTTCATATATTTTTTAAATATAATCAATAATTAAATATTATGAGATAACATTTTAATTAATAAATAATAAATATAATATGGTAAACAAATTTAATAACATAATAATTTAATTAAATATAGTATGGTAAATTAATAAACATAATATATTGTATAATCAAGTGATATATAGTATCACAAATTTAATAATATAATAACTTAATTAAATATAGTATGGCAAATTTATTAACATAATATATTATACAATCAAATAATATATAGCATGATAAATTTAATAATATAATAGCTTAATTAAACCTAAATTAATCACACATTTGTATTTATCATATATTACAATAGACTCTCATACCACTATGAATTTATGGGTGTTGATACAAAATATATATGTAGACAGTAATGATAATATATATATATAAATATATATAATATATATATATATTATATAATATATTATATTATATATATACACACAAATTAATCACACATATGTATTTGATCATATATTAAATAGACCCTTATACTACTATATATTATGGGTGGCGATACAAAATATATATGTAAACAGTAATGATAATATGTATCTGATAACTTAAATTTTGATAATTTAAAACATATTAAACATATTTATCTATGATTAATATATGTATGATAATAATTTTGTATATGCAAATTACACATTATATATTATATAATATATATATATATATATATATATATATAATATATATATATATTATATAAAACAAATTAATCACACATACGTATTGATTTATATTAATAGATTCACTCTATTATGAATTTATGGGTGTTGATGCAAAATATATATATATAGACATTTAAAATATTTATGATAATGATATAATGATAATATAAATATGATAACCTATAATTTTGGTAATTTAATAACATATTAAACACATTTAATCTATGATTAATAAATGCATGACAATAATTTTGTATATACATAATATATATAACCCAATAACCAACAAACTAACTCGGCCCAGCCCAAATTTTAAAACAAAAATCCAAACCCAATTCCACATTTTCCCTTACCCGGCCCAAATTCCAAATCCAATTCAGTCACAACTAATTTGGTTAATCGAAAGAACTCGAACAACCCTAAGTTATTCGAATGAGTTATTCGAATAGATATTTATAAGTTATTCGAAAGAGTTAATCGAATGATTAATCGAACAATCAAGAACTGCTTGTTTGGTTAATCGAACGAACTCGAACAACCATTTTGTGCTCATTCGAGTTCGAACACAATTTCGAACACCCCATTGTGGTTATTGAACAAGTTTCGAACGGGGGTGTTCGTTTGTGTTCGGTTCGTTTGCAGGCCTAGCGTATCCGTTTACTAAACTTACAAGAGCAAGAGCAAGCAACATGTTCCCACCTAAATGTTTAGCAAAATCTTAATTGGTATCATCGGTTGCATTTATTTCAGATTCTTACCCTTTATGTAACCCCGTTTATCTTATTTTAACAATTGAAGGGTAAAAGCGTCAAAGTACTTCACATCTCAAATTTCTCTCAACTCATGCCCATTATTAGTGTCAGTGTCAGTGTCGTCCGTTCTTCGTGGATCTCAACCGGGTTTCTCACCCAAATTGATGGAAATCACCACCCTAAGCCCAATTCCTTTGCCCCAGTTAATAGGTTTGTGTTCGCGCGACTGTTTGGGGCAAATGGTTGAACAATTGGTGGGTGATGTGTAAGGGGCAGGTGAGTGATGTTCGACGATTGGGAAAATGGCAAGGAGGGTTTGCACAATCAATCCATAATACAACAAACTCCAAATCAAACCAAAATCCAATCAAATCGAAGCCAAAACAACTTAAACGCGGCGATAGGTGGTGTTATCATGGATGCCAATCGGCGAGTTGCCAAGAGGTGGGGTTATGGGGGTTTTGAAAAGGAGGCACCAATGATGCCAAGAGTGGTGGCAAAGGGAGTTTTGACTGTTGGAATTGGTTAGAATTTGATTGAGAATTTTGAAACCCTAATGTAACGATAGTCGACGATTGGTGAGAGAAGACAAGCAAGAACCTTGGAGGTTTTGGTCAATGGAGGGTGGGGATGTCAATGGTGGGGTCGAAGAAGGCCAACGTCGACGGGAACTACCCAAATCGAACCTGAGTTGTGGATTGCGCGATCAGAAATTCACAGAAAAACAGGCCAAATCCGACCAAGAAATCAGTTGTTCAAGTTAGGAGGCAAAGGAATTGGGCTTAGAAATCAGTATGGGTGAGAAACTTGACCGAGATCCATGGAAGACGAGTGGTGCCGACATCGACAATGGGTGTGAGTTGAGAGAAATTTAGGATGTGGGGTACTTTGACACTTTTACCCTTTAATTGTTAAAATAAAGTAAACAATGTTAGATTAAAGGTAAAAATATGGAATAAATATAATCAGGTATCAAATTGAGATTTCAGTAAACCTCGGGTGGGAATATATTCTTTGCTTTACTTATAAACCAAAACAACATACTCCAACCCGTAGGTACCCATTTACTGTACATATGAACCAATACAACAGACTTTAAAAAAAAAAAAAAAAAAAAAAATCTGGACAAGTTCAATAGTCGGAACAACAAACTCGATACACACTCATCTCTTACATTTCCCAAAGAAATTCTAGAACAAACATAAAATATTGTAAACAAATCAAATTACAACTCTGCAACTGTACAAGGTTAAACATAAAACTCTCCTCTCCTCTTTTTTTTTCTTATAGAAAACTCTGTAAATGTACAAGGTCAAAACCCATTCCAATGAACCTCTAGGGAAGTGTGCGATTGCAATATAAAAGAACAGGTACTGCTTGTGATTTCAATGACTAATTTTTCCACACTTTCATTGATAAGAATTGTGATATATATACACAATAGCCGAGAAGCTAAATTAGGAATTATACAAACGTTGGAGCTAAATCTGTGCTACTGTTACAATGTACAGCAATGAAATTTAAACTGAATATCAGTTACAAATATAAAAATTAATGAAAGAATATTTGGCAGGATTTTAGGCTAGACATGCTCTGTTTTGTGATCCACGCATTCTTCCCTTATATGCAGGTTGTGCCGTAGTGGTGAGCTATTGTGGGCAGTGTTGTAACGCTGAACGATTGCTCTGCCGTTTGCAGTGCGTTGCGTGTGGGGCTCTTAGTGACACAACTGCGAGTAGCTGCACGCTGGGAAGACAGCATAGTTAGCCCCGCCACGATGTGCTGGTGGAAAAAGGGCGATTGATGGAGGTTCTGCATCTACAGTTTTTACTAAATCTAGGATTTATTTTATAGTACAGAAGAAAGGGGAAGGAAGAGAAGAGTAAAATGAGGGCGGCTGTAGTGGTGGAGGAAAGGGTGGTGGTGGATGTAGGGTTTGATTTGTTTTAGAGAAGAGAGGAAAGGGAGGAAACAGAGGAGAACAACAACGGGCTACGGCTGATGGCGGGAGTAAGGTGTGAGAAAGTGAGAAGAGAATGAGGAGAAGAGTGGAAGAGATTGGCTAATAGAATTTTAGGATGGAATAGGATTAAATTTTGAAAATATTGGAACAAATATGTATTTTGAGTGGGATTGAATAGGATAGGATATGACTGAAAAAAATGAAACAAACACGACCATGGTTATTTTATTTTTTAATTTCTATGGATATATTGTGGGTATACCTAGCCCATTGAAAAAAAGAACGATAGGGTGAGTACATGTTAAGAAAAAAGGGGTTCAAAATGAGACCTGTATCCTATATTATTTTGATGGGTACGGGTTTATCACAATAATTACATGTTTTTTCATGTGAACTTGAAAACTGTTGAACAAATGGATATTGGAATGTTTGGTTCACAAAAAAATAATATTACACCAACAATCCTCTTTTACAAACTTTTTCTTATAATATTGACATGACAGTTTACGATTAGTCAGTTTATAATAGATTTTACATAAGTCTCGTTAATTAATTACGAGTTGACCAATTATGAACTATCACGTTAGGTTTGTGAGAGAAAATTTATAAAAATAAATTATTGACATAGTATTATTCATTCACAAAACAACTTGAAAAGTATCAAAGTGGGCATTGGAATGTTAAAATGCCAATGTTACCGATTGGAAAATTAATGCTAGTATTTGGTGATAAAAACAACTTGAAAATTATCAAACAAGTGGACATTACTTTATAATTCAATACATCATCGCTTAATATGTCAATGCAACATATAATTAACACATTTTGAATAATTTTGGGAGGAATTATATTATTGATGTATAAATATGGTTTGATGATGGAAATTACCCCCCAAAAAAAAAAAAAAAAAAAAGGTTTGGTGATTAATTAATTTAAAAGAGCTCAAACATTGTAGAATGAATAACCGTGGTAGCGTCAGATCTTTTACTAGAATGCCTTAGAACGTGGAAGCAGAAGCTGTCTCACCAGTGCTGATGCGTTTGAGCTCAGCTGGCAGTTAATATCACTTGGGAGGATCCTAGCTCGACCTTATTGGTGATTTTACCAATCAGCATCCGCATTTTTGAGATTTGAGCTAAGATATGTGTTCATTCTTTAAAAAAATAAATGTTTTTTTTTTTAGGACTTATAAAGTTGATGTCATTGGTACAAAAAGAAACTTGATTCCTTGGACTTAATCAAGTTGATGAAAAAATATAATAATTCCTGTTTCCTCTGGAAAATAAAATTAAGCAGCAACCTCTTGTTCTTTTGTTGCAAGCTGGTTCTGGATGTGTTGAGGTACAATATCAAATTTGGCTAATTGCATTGTGTAGGATGCACGACCTTTTGTCATTCCCCGGAGTGTACTTACATATTGAAACATCTCTGCCAGTGGAACCAGGGCATCCACCACCTGCAATAATCCCATGCAACGTAATGTAAATTAAGACACAATAAAAGAAAAGAATGGAGATACCTTCAACCCTTTTATTCCCTGTTATTTTGTTTTTCCAATAGTAGATCAGAATTTTCTATTAGAAACAGAGATTATCGCAGAAAGTTTGAACAACAAATTTGACATACCTTCAGACCTCCTGGTTTGTCACCAAAACTATTGATCTGACCTCTTCTCGAGTTGATATCACCAATGACATCACCCAAGTGCTCTTCGGGTGTGACAACTTCAACTTTCATTATAGGTTCCAGCATCTTTGGACCAGCTTTCCTCATCCCCTCTCTGAAAGCTCCCCTAGCCGCAAGTTGAAATGCCAAGACACTTGAATCAACATCATGGTAAGAACCATCTACGAGTACAGCACGTACATCGACTACAGGGAAGCCTGCAAGCACACCGTTACTCATGCATTCCTCTAATCCTTTCATCACTCCCGGGATATATTCTTTTGGAACTGCACCTCCCTTGATTTCACTCTTGAACTCATATCCACTACCTGCCTCCAGGGGCTCAAACCTGACAGTTATATCGGCAAACTGTCCTTGTCCTCCTGATTGTTTCTTGTGCACATACTTCACTTCTGAGACTTTAGAAATGCTTTCACGATAGTTTACTTGAGGTGCACCAACATTAGCTTCTACCTATTTATACCAAGGAGCACAAGTAACGACAAACAACCATATAACAAAATATATATTATTCTTTGCAATCTTTCAGAAATATAAGAGTTATCAAACTTCTGACACAAAAGCTTGGAAAGAAAGGGGCTACCAACATAACAAAGAAAGTTTCAATGAATTCAACAATTGAGTTGCATTTCCTAGTTCTCTTCCTCTCATGATAGTAAAAATACAACCAAGATAATGTGCATAATCTCAAAAAAAAAAAAAAGTAAAAACTCACCAACATTCATGTTACATGTTTGTAAAAGCACAAGTAAATCTGTCTGCTAAAATCCTTAAATAGAGTCTAATATGATAAGAAATTTCTACAACGTGATAGAACGAGCGTAAGTAATACAATATAATTAGATGCATACAATGGCTGATACATACCTTAAACTCCCTCTTTAGTCGATCAACGATAATCTCAAGATGCAACTCTCCCATTCCTTCAATCACTGTCTGGTTTATTTCTTCATCTCGTGAGAAGTGGAATGAAGGGTCTTCTTGAGCAAGCTTGATCAAACCATTGGCCATTTTATCAATATCGGCTTTAGTCTTGGGTTCAATTGCAACCTTAATCACAGGATCAGGGAAGTCCATTCGCTCAAGCACAATGGGATTATCAGCATCACACAGTGTTTCACCTGTAATGGTATCTTTAAGACCTGCAAGAGCAACAATATCACCAGCTAAAGCCACCTTAACATCCTCTCTACTGTTGGCATGCATTTCTAGAAGTCTACCAATTCTCTCTTTCTTTCCTTTATTTGCATTCAGCACATAAGATCCTGCAGTAAGCTTCCCTGCATAAACTCTGACAAAAGTAAGGGATCCCACAAATGGATCACTCATAATCTTGAAAGCTAGTCCAGAAAATGGTTCATCATCACTGGCTGCCCTTTCAATGGTCACTTCAGGGTTCTCAGGATCAGTTCCCTTCATTGCTGGCAAGTCAAGTGGCGAAGGCAGATAATCGACAACAGCATCAAGTAAAGGTTGAACACCTTTATTCTTGAAAGCTGAGCCACATAGGACTGGCACAAAACTGCCAGAAATGGTGCCTTTCCGAATTAATTTCTTAATGGTTTCTTCATCTGGCTCAACTCCTTCTAGATAGTTCTCCATAGCTTCATCATCTAATTCAACTATGGTTTCTATCATCTGAGATCTGTAGTCCTGAGCCAACTCCCGAAGATCAGCCGGTATATCCTCATAAACAAACTTTGCACCCAATTCCTCTCCTGACCATATTATAGCTTTCATCTTCACAAGATCAATAACTCCCTTAAAATTGTCTTCTGCCCCAACTGGTATTTGGATCACAACAGGTTTAGCACCCAAGTTTGTTACAATCATGTCTCTTGTTCTGAAAAAGTTTGCTCCCATACGATCCATCTTATTGACAAAGCAGATTCTAGGCACTCCATACTTGTCAGCTTGCCTCCACACAGTTTCAGATTGTGGTTCCACACCAGCAACGCTGTCAAACAAACATATGGCACCATCCAAAACCCTGAGAGCTCGCTCCACTTCAAGTGTGAAGTCAACATGGCCAGGGGTATCAATGATATTAATCCTGTGTTTGTTCCAAAATGTAGTAGTTGCAGCCGAGGTGATGGTAATCCCTCTTTCCTGTTCTTGCTCCATCCAATCCATTGTAGCTGTTCCCTCATGTACCTCTCCAATCTTATAGTTCCTTCCTGTGTAGAATAGAACTCGCTCCGTTGTAGTAGTTTTCCCTGCATCTATGTGAGCCATAATACCAATGTTGCGATAATCTTTCAATGGTATCACACGCTTTGACTCTGGAAAAAAAGATGATGAATGAAATTAACTTCTGCTATGTTAGCCAAAACTCAGTAATATACACAAGTACCGATGGAATACATACACATTGCCACATACTGCAAAATATAAGAATTCCAAATTTGCTAAAATAGGAAGCTTAAATTCTCAATACCGTCAAAAAATCTGGTCAATTCTTCAACATTAGGGGGCCATATATGATCAATAATAAGATTCCAGGGTTCTCCAAACAAGAATGCCTACTACTTATTCTACATATATTAAGTGGCTTTTGAAACCCAATTGAAAAGAAACATGTATGGTTTACACTCAAGTTTCATTTGACACAATTTCATGAATAAATTTTAAGAGAAATATGAGAAATGGAGAGAACTAAAAGCAAGGAAGCCATAATTTATCCATAATTTTAATAAAATAAAACTGTCTATTTCTTATTTAATACTTCTCTAAAATAAACACAAAACAACATTATTAATTTCAGGAGAAATCACATAATTGCATCGTACGCAATGCAATTACAATTTATGCTGAATAAAAAAAGAAAAAAACTAAGACAATCAAATAAAATAACGAAATTTTACATAAGAAAGGCCAGTTAAAAAAAATTTAAATTTCAACAATCTAGATCAAGGCTACATCAAAATCAATAAAAAAAAATGGAAATTCAGTTTATAAAAGAAATTAATGAAACAAGAGTAAAGGAAAAATAAGGATATATATACCCTCAGCTGCCATAGCAAAAACAGAGTAGTTTCTTCTGTTAGTTTGGCGTGAATTGGAGAGCTTGGAAGAAGAAGAAGTGGAAGTGAAGACACGTAAGCTTCCCAAGAAATGAGAAGGTCGTAAAGGGAGATCCAGAAAGCGAGTTGGAGAAGAGAGAGGGGCATGCCTCCTTTGAGAAGCATTGATATTGAGATGGGATATTGAAGAAGAACAAGAAGCTTTTACACTCTCGGCAGCCATTTTTTTTTTTTTTCTTTTTCAGTTCAGAGTGTTGTTGTCCGTCCTTCCTACACTCGCTTGGATAAAGAGAAGAAGTGGTGGTTATAAGTTGTGAACTTCTGGCTTTTTTGTGGGCTACCAAAATAAGAAGTCCAAACATTTCCATGTCTTTATCTTTCTTTTTAAACAGGGTTTTCTCAATCCCATAGTTTTAAGTTAATCAATTAACAATAACTCAACATTTTAGTTTTATAATGAATTAATGTGTTTATCATTAGAAATACATAATCCAGATTTGATATTATTTCTATAATTAATTTTATATATTATCAAGAGGAACCAAATAACTTAATTTTAGTATTTCTTATATACTTTTTCGTAATCTTCCATCAATAATTTCCAAGAATTCTAAATTTCAAAAACTATGGTGTTTTCTTCTAATTTGGAATTGGAAAATTTTCATTCAGAAATAAAATAGGAGTCATACTAGATATAAAAATTTGGAAATATTAGAAAACTATTTATTTTTAAAACTCCTTTATGATATTATTATTTATTTTATGAGAAAGTATTAGTTAAAATATAGACAGAGAACAATTCATGGAAAAAATAAAATAATTATTTGAATTAAATAAAAGCAATTGAGCCACAAATTGGAAATGGAGGAGGAAAGGTTGCCACATAGCTCAGAATTAATACAACCGCATATAGTTGAGAGACTGGTGGGATTGGGTTTAGAACTTTTGATAGTGAAACTGAAAATGAGACTGAGACCCCATCTCAATTCTCAACTTCAAGTCCGGAAGAAATTTATTTGGGCCGTCTCCATCCATAGGCTTAACAAGGAGAAGGCTCATTTATTAATTGTTCACAATTTGGGCTTGGTTGTTCAATCTTAATGATGGGCGTCATTGGAGTTATAAGAACATCTTCAAAGGACTCTTTATATGACCTAAATTTTTTATTATAAATAATTTATCCATAAAAACAAGAGTTCAATGGACTTTTTTTTCTTTAAATATAAATGAAAAAATGAATTTGACTCTCTACATCTAGAGAGTCAAATTTCACTATTTATTCCAATTTTATTTAATAAATTATAAGTTTCTACGCATTTTATTATTAATTCTCTCTCATTTTTATTAAGTTTAATTTAAAGAGTGTATTATGCCTGAAAAATATAGGGCTGACGTAAGGTCTAGTCAGCGTGTAAAAGTCAGAGCATGGGTACACCTACAGCCGAGTCACGTGAGGAAAGGGGCAGCCTACTTCTATCAGAATAGTAGGTGCGCGCCAGACCAACCAGAAGCTGTGGTGATTTCACGTGTCTAATCCCTGCTCCAAATCGCGTAAATCACTCTAGAAGGTGGGCAATGTGATATAAAGAATGATTTGTACACTTAATCCTACCAACTCACAGATTCAGTAATCATTAGCCCAATGTATCCCACTATAAATAGAGAGCTCCTCTCCCATTCAAAAGATTCGCTCATTTTTACTATTGATTGGCTATTCTCTCTCAAGAATATATAGCACTCTCTCTCTTGCACTGTCATTTGTAAGTCATTTATACGTCAGTCTGCTAATGCGACCTGACCTCTATCATTAATACAAACAACAGTGGACGTAAGACTTGCTATCTTAGCATCCGAACCACTTTAAAAGCTGTTCCCATTGCATTTACTCTCATTTTCCTTTATATTCACGTGTGTCTTCTAGGCCGGCTCAGCATTTCACACGTGCGTTTAGTTGGTGTAAAAATCACGCATCAACAGAGTCCATTAGATTTGAATACAAATTTTGTTCTTTATGTTTAGAAATTAATGAAAATATTCTTTATTTATGTAAAATATGCTCTTTAAAATAAACAGCACTATTGGAGATGCTCTAAGTGCCGTGGGAGATTTTAAAACCTCAACACTCAACTATGTTAAATTGGGTTAAATGCAACAACCACCCCTTAGGTTTAAAAAATTGAGGGTTAGATGTGAATTTGGGTGTATTAGAAGAAAACCATTCTCAATCTTTTAAATATTATTCAGATTGGGGCTGACAGATTCCGTAACTAATAAGGGGTAAATTTGTCTATTCATACCCTTCCCATTAAAAATAAGAAAGAAAAAGAAGCTAAATGAAACCTTAAAAAATAGAACTTGAAAAGAAAAAGAAAAATACTCACTACTCTTTCTCTCGCTTCTTTCCAATTATTTTCACTTTTTCTGTCAAATTTCATTAAAAGGAAAAAAATCCTAGATTTGTTGTTGGTTTTAGTTAGGGCTGTTCATGCTTCTTGTGTTAATTTGGTGCGGAGACAAGGAATTATCTTTTTATTTGGTTTTGAGATTTGTTGATTGTAATTTGTGATTGATTTACTTGTTAAAATGGTTTGCAAATGGCTTTTCTGCTTGTTTGTTGTGTTCTATGGTAGTGATATATTGTGTGGGTGGGACTGTAAAGGTTGGCTATTGGGGATGGGAGGCTACTGCCCGAGCCATGGGGTAGGGGGTGTGTTTTGCGGGCGGAACGAGGGTGGGGAAAAAGGTGAAAAAATAAAAGTGATGCATGCAAAAGCAACAACCAAATTAAACTTTACTTAAATTAAATTCTCTTAAAATGTCGCTTGTTACCACAAAGCAAGCATTGATTTTTCCTGCAAAAGACTTTTCAAACTAATTAATTATGGTGGAGTAGACTGACAAAACGGGTTCATACTCGCGCGCATGGATATGTATCCATCCAAATAATATAGGTTACGGTCCATCATTTTAGACCCTTTTTTTAATTTACTTGTACCCGACCGACCCGTAGAACTCAAGAAAAAAGAAAAAAATTACCAAAAGCAACCTCTCTCTCTCCACCTGCTGCTGCCCTTCCTAGCATCTCTCTCTCTCTCTCTCCATCTGCAATTCTGCATCTGTCCTCTCTTCGTCTTCGACCCTTCTTGTAAAAAAGTTCCTCATTCTCCGCCGGCCGCCGCCTGCTTAGATAAGTAAGACTCTTGATGTGTGTGTTTTTCATTTGTCGTCCAATTGCTTTTCTCGTATTTGTTTTGGGGACAAAATTGAACTCTGATTCGTTTTGATCTTGAAGTTGAACAATCATTCAAGCATGAGTTATGGCCATATATATATCATATTCTGCACATATCGATCATATGTGCCCACTGTGAAAATTGACGTCTGACCAAACAGACAAATCTTAAAAAATAGACAAACATTTCAGACACTTTCACATTTTCCTTATGTTCCTGATGGTAACAATTCCTATGCCTATAACCTGTTTGTAATATTGTCTAGCTGTTAGAAGCGATGAGCAGCTCAACTGTATTTGGGTGAGGAAACACTAGATTGATGTTTACTGTTTGTATAATATATTTGATTACAAGCATGCTTTTAATTTGCTTCTTTGTTACCTTTGTTGATGGAGAGATTGAATAGATTGTATTAAAATTTTAAGCTAAAATTAATATGAACTTGTAATATTTATATCCTGTGTTATTCTCTTATTAGTTTATTAATGAAAGAAACATTTCAAAAAAGATGAGAACATCTAATCATATCAGGGTTGAATGCCTTTTGTTTAGAACTAAAGTTAAATGGATTGAAGTGGACAAATATCATATTAATTAAATCTCAAAAGCTACCAAAAAAAAAAAAAAAAAATCACGTTTTTGAATTTGATTATTCTTCCTTTGACAGTAAAACTTTGTGACAGTAAAAACTTTTGTGCTATCAAAGCTGCATGTAACAAGACCATTTTTCAAGAAGGAAATTGGTTAATTTGATTTTGTTTTAATTAACTAGCTAGTCATTTCAGTCTATGAATATATAAGCTTTTGACTGCATGTTCTGCACCATATTTGGCTTATATTTGTTCTGCAATTTGGAGCTGTATTTTTGGAGCTGTACCGTGCTAATGAACTCCTGGATAACTTCCGTCCGTAGAAATATTTGGCTTATATTTGTTCTGCAATTTGCACTTCAATGTATTATAGTTGATGTTTTACTATTGGATCTTTCATGGACACGTGCTACAACTTTGTTGGAATCTCATTGTTTGGCTGAAATTATGAAATACTGATGGTAGGATTCTAGTTGATATGCAATCACTTATGCTACATTTGATTTTTTTTGTTTTGTATTTCTATTGAGGTCTTCTAGTGGGCTGTGATAAACTCTTATTTGGTTGGAAATTCTAAATTGATGCCGTTGCAAAAAATTCAGTTAAATAGCCACCTATCAAATTCTAGTATTATATTTTGGAAGTGCCACAAGTTAATTCACCCATGCAAGTAATAATCTGACTACCCTTGTGCTGTTTTGGGCCAAACCGGTTTTGCTTGTAGTTGCTTTCTGGAGAGTGAAAATCCTCACAAGTGCTTACGCAAGAGCAAATTAATTATTAAGTGTTTTAATATTCATGTTCAGGAAGGAGGAGATGGATTAAAAATATGCACATACATTTGATGCAAGAGTAAATTCATGTTGAGGTGTTCTCAATCTGCACACCGATTGAGCAAAATATAACGTGTTTTCAAATTATGCATAGTTAATTAACACTGCAGAAATTGTGGGAGTGTGACTGTAAAAATTAAAAACTGCAGGAATTTTGAGGTTTAAATGTCATAATTGAAAATTGGAGTGAACAGTGCACAGTTTTGGGCCTGTACCATGGGACTCACACCTGTTTGGACCCACGGGTTTTAAAGCTAATTTAATTATTTATTGCATGTAATAATGAATTGTTGCATTATTTTTTTTATAGTCTCCATTATTGTGACTAATAAGGCTTCGTTTGTTACGCTATTGGGAATACTATTATTAGTATTCTCAATAAAGTTAAACAGTAAAATGTTATTATTCTCAAAATATTATTTTATATTTTTTAATTTTTTTAAACTCCCTAAATTTGTTAATTTAATTAAGCATTCCCAAATATTTTTTTTAGAAATTGCAAAAACACTCTAGTCACCCTTCAACAGTGGTGGCTGGTTGTCCGTATTTAATGGATGGATTGTAGGTGTTTTTGTTAACTTTTAATATTTTATTATAGGGGTGTTTAGTAAATAAAAAAACGTAAGGGATATTTTTATTAATTTTTAAATCCTACATCGTAATACCTGTCCAATTTAACTTTTTTTAAAATATTATTTTAAAAACTATCAGAATAATGAACCAAACGGACCCTAAGAATGTCATGATTAAGGTCATGAATGAGAGCAATTTTAAGAGATGGAAACATGATATTGAATTTGCCCTGGGAATGTATAACAAATCATGTCATTGATAAGAAAATTTTATGTTTCAATAATTCCTTGATTTATAGTTTATTTATTATTATTATTATTATTATAATACATGAATAGTTTTATAAATGTGTGGGAATATGATTAAAGCGAATTTATGGGCATGTTGTTAAGTACATGAATTTCATGTTTGAAGGATTTATGGGTGAGATAAATGGTAATTGCCAAAGTAGTTCATTTATTAGTACTCATAAATTTCTTTGACATTTATTTAGGAATTTTGGTTTCGTATATAGTAATCTACCCAAAGATTGTGGATAAATCAATAGTAGCATACCACCAAGGTAATTTTTCACCCCAAAAGAGACTAATTATCTGAAAGTTGGATGTTATTGTTGATTGGTTTATTATGAGATTTAGTTGTTTGTTGCATTCCTCACCTAAATGTAAGTTTGCAATATTACAACTTGAGATCTCGTGAGAATAATGTGATGGTGATATTTATGACTTATTCTTGTTTTATTTATGCCCATGGGGATATGATAAATAAAATATTTATATATTGTGATGTTGTTTATATATATATGGTTTTGTTTATATTTTACACTGTAATATTAATCATGAACATTGATTCTCTGATTTGGATGTTTGTATGAGATGGAAATTAAGAATTGATATTCTTTTTGAATTATTTCTTGTTCATCTTACCATACGACTCTCCACATATAGTTGATAGTTAAATATTACCTTTAACACTTAAATTGACAAATGAGAGTCAATAGATTGATTTTTATGTATGGCTTCAAAGGCAAGAGAATTTGTTAAACATGAAAGTGCGAATTTCCTTATTAGCCTTGTCTTATTTAGTTTCTTAAAGACTCAATCTGCTTGTAATGAGAATAAGAGTAATATGTTGAAGTTGAAATTATTCAATAAAGCTGTACATTTTTTGTTTAAAGGAAGGTTACAAGAAAGTTATTCTTGTAGTGCTTAAACTATTTATTTATTTATTTTTAATTTCCTTCCTATATGCACTACATATAGTTGAATATCTATTCCTTGGTCATTTTTCTAAGATTTGTGTTACAGATGTATATGACTTCCTAGATTATAGGGATCACATTAAAATCATTGATTATATGGATCACTTCTATCCTAATTTAGATTGATCACCTACCTAGTTTAGAACACTACAAGTGTATATAAATATCTATCCTTTTAAGTTATGAATGAGAATAGTGAATATTCATTACGTTTATTTACATGGTATCAGAGCCTTAAAAGATAATTAGGGTTTGGGTCTCGAAATTGGGAAATTAGGGTTTGGGTTTCAAATTGGGAAAACCTGTTTAGGTTGAGATTTGTTCAACACCGCCACCCAAGGGAGATTTAGAAGCCGCCGATTGGCAAAACCCTGAGTTCCGGCCATCAAAATCACTGCGCGTGAGCTCCACGTGCCACCCGAAACTCTGGTGAACAGTAACACGTGCCGGCGCGTGAGAGCGCGTGCACAGCTGACTTCTCCTCCGATTCTCTTCGTCTGCTTCGCCGGTACTTGTACAACACATTTTCGTGCTGGATTGGGTAATCTCTTACTGGTTCACTGTTGTTCTTTGTTTGGATATTTATGAGGACTTAGTTGTGATCTTTCGACACTTTGTTTTCGTTTGGTTATTGGTTTTTTGCTTGCTGTGGCCTTTGGTTGGTGGTGACTGTTGATTGATTTGGTGTGTCATTGAAATTTAGTTAGTTTGCTTTGTTTTAACCGTTTGTTGGTGTACATTGGGATTATCATCTGTTTAAGACATGTCTGATACAAAGCTAGTGATGGAAATGATATCGACGATGTCAAAAATTATAGAACATAAGCTCTTTGGTATAACTAATTACCATGATTGGTGTAAAACTATCATACTGTATTTGCGGAGTATTGATAAAGATGATCATATGACTGATGATCCACATGGGGATGATTCGAAAAAGACATGGCTCCGGGATGATGCTCGGTTGATTCTACAAATACAGAACTCTATTGACGGTGAGGTACTTGGCCTAATTAATCATTGTGAGTTTATTAAAGAACTGATGAATTGTTTGGAGTTTCTGTATTCTGGAAAAGGGAATGTTTTTCATATTTATGAAGTGTGTAAGGCATTCTACCGTGCAGAGAAACAAGATAAGTCTCTTACAGCTTATTTTATGGAGTTTAAGAAGACTTATAAAGTGTTGAACATGTTGTTACCCTTTAGTGTTGATGTTAAAGTTCAACAAAAACAACGGGAGCAAATGGCAGTCATGAGTTTTCTTGCAGGTCTTCCTTCTGAATTTGAGACTGCTAAGTCTCAGGTTCTAGCCAGTCCAGAGATCTCTTCATTGCAGGATGTCTTTAGTAGGGTACTTCGCACAGAAGATACCCCACCGGTTCAGTTTAGTAATGCTCTCGTTAGTCAAAAGAATGACTATGATTCTGGGCGATCGCAATTTGGAAGTAGCAACAAAGGAGGAGGGTCAAATAATAATATGGGAGGAATTGTGTGTCACTATTGCCATAAGCCAAGACACATGAAGCGTGATTATAGAAAGCTTCAGAACAGAAATAGAAGAAATCCTTCTACCCATGTTGCATCCACCAATGATACTTTGGATCAGTCAGTTCTTATCTCTACAGATGAATTTGCTAAGTTTTCATTGTACCAAGAATCATTAAAGGCTTCACCTACTCCTATCATGGTTATGGTTAACTCAAGTTAGCCAAATACATGTCTCCTTTCCTCATCCTCCAAATTTGTCATTGACTCTGGTGCAACAGATCATATGTCAGGTAATCCCAGTCTCTTTGCTACTTATCAATCAAAAACCCTTTCGAATGTGACTTTAGCATATGGGTCACCATCCTACGTTCTTGGGTCTGGCACAGTTACCCTTACTCCACTGCTTCCTTTGTCAAATGTCTTACATTTACCAGATTTTTCTTTCAATTTGATTTCTGTTAGCCAACTTACTCGTGCTCTTAACTGTTGTGTTTTATTCTTTCCCGATTATTGCTTGTTTCAGGATCTTACGACGAAGAAGATTATTGGTAAAAGACATGAATATGGAGGTTTATACATTCTCGACAGACCAAAATCTACACCTGTCGCTTGTTCTAGTGTTACATCCCCGTTTCAAGCACATTGTTGTTTGGGCCATCCATCTCTTCCTTTACTAAAGAGATTGTGTCCTCAGTTTAATAAAGTGTCTGCATTAGAGTGTGAGTCATGTCAGTTTGCTAAACATCATCGTGTCAGTTTTAGTCCTAGAGTCAATAAAAGAGCTAATTCTCCCTTTGAGTTAGTTCACTCTGATGTTTGGGGTCCCTGTCCAATTCTGTCTAAAACTGTTTTTAGATATTTTGTTACATTTGTGGACGATTACTCTCGTATGACTTGGTTATTCTTAATGAAAAATCGTTCTGATTTGTTTTCTTATTTCTATGCTTTTTGTACTGAGATTAAAACTCAATTCAATGTTTCTGTTCATACATTGCGCAAAGATAATGCAAAAGAATATCTGTTAGTTTCTTTTCAAAATTACATGACCCAGAATGGCATTCTTTATCAAACTTCATGTGTTGATACTCCATCTCAAAACGGAATAGCAGAATGGAAAAACAGACATCTTTTTGAAACTGCCAGAGCCTTATTATTCCAAAGGAATGTTCTTAAACCATTCTGGGCTGATGCCGTTTCCACAGCCTGTTTTTTGATTAACTGCATGCCGTCTTCTGTCCTTCATGGTGAGACCTCGTACAATATTCTTTTTCCTAACAAAGCATTATTTCCTCTTGAACCTAGGGTATTTGGTAGCACTTGCTTTATTCAGGATGTTCAACCATCAGTCACTAAATTAGATCCCAAGTCATTAAAATGTGTCTTTCTTGGTTATTCTNACAGTAAAAACTTTTGTGCTATCAAAGCTGCATGTAACAAGACCATTTTTCAAGAAGGAAATTGGTTAATTTGATTTTGTTTTAATTAACTAGCTAGTCATTTCAGTCTATGAATATATAAGCTTTTGACTGCATGTTCTGCACCATATTTGGCTTATATTTGTTCTGCAATTTGGAGCTGTATTTTTGGAGCTGTCCCGTGCTAATGAACTCCTGGATAACTTCCGTCCGTAGAAATATTTGGCTTATATTTGTTCTGCAATTTGCACTTCAATGTATTATAGTTGATGTTTTACTATTGGATCTTTCATGGACACATACTACAACTTTGTTGGAATCTCATTGTTTGGCTGAAATTATGAAATACTGATGGTAGGATTCTAGTTGATATGCAATCACTTATGCTACATTTGATTTTTTTTGTTTTGTATTTCTATTGAGGTCTTCTAGCGGGCTGTGATAAACTCTTATTTGGTTGGAAATTTTAAATTGATGCCGTTGCAAAAAATTCAGTTAAATAGCCACCTATCAAATTCTAGTATTATATTTTGGAAGTGCCACAAGTTAATGCACCCATGCAAGTAATAATCTGACTACTCTTGTGCTGTTTTGGGCCAAACCGGTTTTGCTTGTAGTTGCCTTCTGGAGGGTGAAAATCCTCACAAGTGCTTACGCAAGAGCAAATTAATTATGAAGTTTTTTAATATTCATGTTCAGGAAGGAGGAGATGAATTAAAAATATGCACATACATTTGATGCAAGAATAAATTCATGTTGAGGTGTTCTCAATCTGCACACCGATTGAGCAAAATATAACGTGTTTTCAAATTATGCATAGTTAATTAAAACTGCAGAAATTGTGGGGGTGTGACTGTAAAAATTAAAAACTGTAGGAATTTTGAGGTGTAAATGTCATAATTGAAAATTGGAGTGAACAGTGCATAGTTTTGGGCCTGTACCATGGGACTCACACCTGTTTGGACCCATGGGTTTTAAAGCTAATTTAATTATTTATTGCATGTAATAATGAATTGTTGCATTATTTTTTTTTTTTATAGTCTCCATTACTGTGACCAATAAGAATGTCATGATTAAGGTCATGAATGAGAGCAATTTTAAGAGATGGAAACATGATATTGAATTTGCCCTGGGAATGTATAACAAATCATGTTATTGATAAGAAAATTTTATGTTTCAATAATTCCTTGATTTATAGTTTATTTATTATTATTATCATACATGAATGGTTTTATAAATGTGTGGGAATTATGATTAAAGCGAATTTATGGGCATGTTGTTAAGTACTTGAATTTCATGTTTGAAGGATTTATGGGTGAGATAAATGGTAATTGCCAAAGTAGTTCATTTATTAGTACTCATAGATTTCTCTGACATTTATTTGGGAATTTTGGTTTCGTATATAGTAATCTACCCAAAGATCGTGGATAAATCAATAGTAGCATACCGCCAAGGTAATTTTTCACCCCAAAAGAGACTAGTTATCTGAAAGTTGGATGTTATTGTTGATTGGTTTATTATGAGATTTAGTTGTTGTTGCATTCCTCACCTAAAGGTAAGTTTGCAATATTACAACTTGAGATCTCGTGAGAATAATGTGATGGTGATATTTATGACTTATTCTTGTTTTATTTATGCCCATGGAGATATGATAAATAAAATATTTATATATTGTTATGTTGTTTATATATATATGGTTTTGTTTATATTTTAAACTATAATATTAATCATGAACATTGATTCTCTGATCTGGATGTTTGTATGAGATGGAAATTAAGAATTGATATTCCTTTTGAATTATTTCTTGTTCATCTTACCATACGACTCTCCACATACAGTTGATAGTTAAATATTACCTTTAACACTTAAATTGACAAATGAGAGTCAATAGATTGATTTTTATATATGGCTTCAAAGGCGAGAGAATTTGTTAAACATGAAAGTGCGAATTTCCTTATTAGCCTTGTCTTATTTAGTTTCTTAAAGACTCAATCTGCTTGTAATGAGAATAAGAGTAATGTGTTGAAATTGAAATTATTCAATAAAGCTGTACATTTTTTGTTTAAAGGAAGGTTACAAGAAAGTTATTCTTGTAGTGCTTAAATTATTTATTTATTTATTTATTTTTAATTTCCTTCCTATATGCGCTACATATAGTTGAATATCTATTCCTTGGTCATTTTTCTAAGATTTGAATAAAAAGATGAAGTTTTTCTTCACGCTTGTTTTAGTAATTTCGAAACATTTTTTAATGAAGGGAAAATTGACAAGATAGAAAATTTTCCGCACATAAAAGTTTAATTTATCTACAAAAACATTACCATATTCTTGACAATTTTTACCTCATTTAAGGGGAAAGTATTTACTAAATTGATTTTTCTTTGTAGCATGTTCATATACGAGTCTTGAAAAGTTTTAAAGTGTTAAAAAAAAAAAAAAAAAAAAATAAGCTTTAATTGAAGGTTTTAAAATCTATAAAGAAATTTTGAGGTGATAAGTATTATGACGAACATGAAATTATTATTTATAATAGTTGTTTGCAAAATACTTCGTATGCCTTGTACGCCTGATACTTCGTATGCCTTGCACACCTGATAGAATGAGATGACTGAGAGACAAAGTCGCACTAGTAAAGGTATGGTAAAATATTGATGGCATGGATTCTATGAAATGTAAATGTTTGTGATAGTTTTTTAACTTTTTTCTTAATAAAATTGTACTAATTGGTTATAGATGAGTGTTTAAAGCTAAAAGAGATGAAAAAGCATATTAAACTGCTTTTAAGGCTAGGTTACTAGCTATGAGCTTCAGATAAAGGTATATATATTTCATAGAAATGCCATTTCTCTTATGTATTCTAATGTCTTTTTTATAAAGATTTTTATACCATTAGTATTTTACCTTAAACTTCATATTTTATACTCAATATATATTATAAGGTCAGTGGGAGGAAATTTTAATTTTCTTTTGGGTGACTGTATTGGATAGATTTTCTATAATCTAGATATAGATCATTGAATGATAATAAAGAAACTTATGAGATAGTTATTAAAGACTATATGTTTTATGCTTACATGTGGTAAATCTAATCTCTTGAGAGGTAATTAGATATTGTGAGCTGGTCATACCAAATGTCTCAATTTTTAACAAGTTTTTTTATATGTTTTATAATGGCTTCTAGGGTTGTTTCGGATAAATTCTTGAACTGCTGTATATACTATGTTCTCAGAGATACGGTCAAGATTTTTAATTATGGTTAAGTACATGCTACAGTAGTTGCTATGGCTGATTCATTAACCAAGATGTTAAACTTGTTAATTACTATATACATGTGATAACATATAATTTGAGTTTTTGATGCACTTGGTTAGTGGGAGTTTTTTTCAGTCTATTACATAATATTATTTGAATTTGTAATAAACTGTATATCATATGGTTAGTGAAATACAACATTGTGTCTCAAGAATAAAGTTTCTCTTGAGAATGGTATTTGAATAGATATGTTTCATGGTTGGATATCTTAAGGTTTATTGGTTGAAACTTACGGGCTGCGTTGGAAGCTGTGAGATTTCTCTTGTTTTTTTCTTAAAGCATAAAGGTTAAAGATGAATCATCAAGAGGACTGACAGGAAATAGCACATGTTTATGATCATCTTGTTGGGTGCTATTTCTTGCCACACTCCTAGATTACTGTTCCATGTGATTTGATTATTAGTAATTGTAATCATGAATTGATTTTATGTCAATTAAAGATGTAAAGATTGTCTTGGTTCATTATTGATTATTGATAATCATATTGACTGGATTGTTGGTCAAAGTGTTATCTATGGACTATTTTGTTTTCTTCAAACAATGGCCAGGTTTAAGTTAAAAAGCTTGTTTACCCGAGAGTTAAAACTGTTTTCTTTTTATCAAATAAGGTAAAATAACTAATGTTGTACAAGTAGGAGAATGTTTAAAAATTCCTAATTATGGGTTAACATTAATTCTGTTTTGGTTTGATAAAATTGGGTAATTGCATAATCCAATGAGATATCTTAATGGGTTTATATGATCATTCTAGAATTTGCTCAATGCATTTTATTTTATATAATCTGGGTTAACAAGTGTAGGCTTGAGTATGTAATGGACTTTATAGTTTATTGGACTTTTAATGGGAGGACCCAATAAATTGATATAAATTGACGAGGTCCTTTTTTCAAAATGTGATTGTACATTGAACCTTATTTGGAAGTCGTTATTTTGGAGAGTTTTTTGAAAGGAAGACCGGTTACTACTTGTAGGGAATTAAAGAAATTTAGAAGCCATGGCAAAATCAGGTTTTCTAATCTGTATTCTTTAAAATTTAGTATTCTATAACAATATGGAGATCTTAGGATTACTCATTAGAATTGAGTGAAATTCATGTTAGAATTCCTATAGAGGGAAGTAGGGCTGAGCTGCAGTTTGCTCCACAGGATTTTAACTACTCACCTTATAATTGTAGGACCCTTTGGCTTCCATTGTCATAAAGAAACCTGCAATTTTTTTTGGTTAACATATGCACTTTCCTCATTGTTCTTGTCAGTTGGGTCACTATGTAAGCCAAGAAAAAAAATCGATTTCTAGTCAAAAGAATATGTGATGACACTTCAAATCGAGAAATAATTGATGTCTAGAATATATTGATTTGTTTGATGGATGAAGATATGCATAGCTACAATACATCCATGTCAATTATACCCAACATTAATTAATATCCTAAATACTTTGTTACTTATTTTAATGCATTCTTTGTCATAATGCCATTAGCTTTGAACCAAGGAAGAAAATTGCACGTTTTGCTTCTCAACCTGCAATGACGGACAAGAGAGCCTATTCGTGTTATTTCGGTCGAGTTTCTTGCCCATTAGTTGCATATTTCGTAGTTTCCATATTTCTTAATTAATTTATATCTTTATTTCGGTAGACAGAGAAAAATGAAAATTAGGATGGTTATAATCGTTAAATCTATTTGATTTATTTACTCATGAGGATTGCATTCCTTCTTGATCTGCTAATTATACGTTCTTTATTTGATTCAAGTCTTACATACATATATACATGGGTGGGTGCATACACACACACACACACACACATATATGCTATATTTATTTTACATCTTAATTGACAACAGATCATCAAGCATTTTATACAATAAAGGTTCCCCAGTACAAATACTTCATTTCCATCCTCTGAAGCCAAAAAACAACCCTGCTAGTGGAAGCCACTTCACACACATATATATAGCTGATTGAGGCTAAATCATATTGGAAATTCAACACAGTCCCGCACGGCTACAGCTTCTCTGGGGTTTAAGCAATGAGTCTTGGCCAGTTTTGTTATGAATGTTGAGGCGGAGACAGAGACGGCTGTAATGGCTAGTAACTTGGGGCTGTCTTGGATTTTGGTTGCATAGCTAGAAAGGGTAGTGAGGGCATCACAGGAAGTCTTGATGAATTCGGTGCTGTTTTAGCTCAGCAATCTGAGTAGACCAAGGACGATCAGAGTTGAAATTGGATTGGAAAAGTATGATGTCTCCATCTCTCTTTGTGGAAGCTAGCTGGTTATAATTTTGATATATGGGCATGGCATGGGAAAGGCTCTCAATTTATAGAAAAAAAGTTAAGCTTTGTGGTTCCTGATTTTTGTTGATTAGAGCCAACAATTATAAGGCAAAAAAGTGCAAAAGCCTTCAAATTATCAAGAAGTCATGTCCACTTTATATTTCCATGTCAGTTTGCCACTTACAATGATGCCATTGATTGATCCATTATAGCAATGATTAAAAAATCAATGCAGTTTAAATATTAAAGTTGAAAATTGCTTTCACTTCCTGCCAATGCTTTATATTGCATGCCATGTGTACATTAAAAACGTGCCTAAAATCTAATGCATATAGTAGTTGATGAAATTATTTTACGCTCCACAATTGTATAAATAAAGTGATTAAGCGCCGGCCAGAGACTCTTCCAAAGAAATAAGAGCCTTAAAGGTACTTTGATGATCACATTATTTAATAATGTATATTTTTTGTCCTCAAACACACAACCTTGTTAGGGCGTCACTGTCACTCGATTTATGATTATGAATATTACAAACCCCATAATTTGATAAACAAATAGATAAGGATATCGTTAGATATGTAATTGAATTTGAGTGTCATTATTTTTGGAGATTTGTAGATCTTGCTAATATGATATATTTTTTTTTTTGACAAATAAGGTTTTCAATAACCATTTCAAATTATTTACAAGTAATAATAACCAAACGATTTGCACTCTTCACACGCATGTACGATGACAAAATTGAATTTCTTAAATACTAAAAATAAAGTAAAAATTTTTAAGTGACAGAATAAGTGATCTGAATTCATACGGCAGTAGAGTAGTATGAATATTAATAAGCTTAATGGGCTAAAAATTGACGTTGGGCTCTGATTTGATTTTTGTAGCTTGTTCCTTCCCAGGGGTTAAAAATAAAAACAAATTGACGGTATGCACATTGATATTACTGTATATAACTTTAAGAAAGATAAACAAACTTAGAATATTTAAAAAAAAAAAAAAACAGAAGAGATTTCAAAGAATTTATGAAAAATTAAGAACTCCAAATAAAAAATCAAAAAATAAAAATAAAAAGGGCTGCCAGTGGCTATGCACTGGTCTAACATTGGCTTGGATTTGGCCAAGGCTGAGCTAGCAAAACTCGTACTGGCCATGACTAGTGTTGCACCATTTTGGCCTGGCATAGTTAGGTCGAGCCATGTCGGCTGGCCATCGATCTGGCCATTCTAGGCCAGACATGATGCCAATTGGCCACGCCTGGCCAAATCGAGCCATGCTTGGCCAACGTTGACCTACACTTGGCTTGGCCGATGGCTTGGGCATTGGTAGCAATTTTTTTTCTCTAAAATTTCTAAATTTTTCAAAGTAAGGGTTTTTTTTTTTTTTTTAATTTTATAAAAATTTCTTAATGTTTTTTAAGTTTTATGTATTCTTTATTGTTTGAATTTTTTTAAAATTTAAATACTTCCTAAATCAACTTTTCTACGTTTTTAATTTTTTATTAAATTGTATGTATAATTTTAGTTTTTTAAATTATCTATTGTATTCATTTGCTATTACGTATTTTTAGGATATTATTTTTTCAGATTTGATTTAAAAAAATTTGATAGGTGAAATGTCTAATTGACCCTCACTAATGTTAAAGTTAACATCTTAAACTAATGACAGAGGATGTAAATTGTAGTTTCTGATGTTCGTAGAGGCAATTCGTTAGTTTCGATACTAACAAGGGATGTGGACCCAGGAAACCAATACTTGTCATTAAAGAGGGGATTGGGATTAGGGGTGAGCGGTTCCGGGTATCCTGTATTTTTTTGGGGAACCGAAACAGCACAGTGCAGGTTCTTAAATTCAAGGAACCGGAACTTAACTTGGCTATCTTGTAAAAAATTAATTACCCCCCTATTAATTAAAAAAAAGACAAAAATTCTTTAAAAATTTACAAGTACACCCCCTATTGCAAATTGCATTAGTCGCAAGCTTGCAAGCTGATGCAATTTGTTTTGTCTAGTTATATAAAAATTTATAAAATACAATCATACATAACATTGTGCATTACATATCTGTGGATTATAGTAAGAGGTTATAAATTATAATTTTGAGAAATTGTTTCAAAGAAATGAAACCCAGTTCACAAATCACTAATCTTTTTTTATTACCATTGTTTTGAGGGGCCAAAAGAGAAGCCCCACAAGCACAAGCACACCACAAAGGCAACTGAACCAAAAGAATAAAAGGAAAGAGAGAAATATGGACTACAACATAATAACGCCAAAGAGACAGAATAATATTAAGATAGTTGATTAGTTTCATATCACGCACCTTCAATCTGAGTAGTATCCCTCAGAGAATTAACAGTTGAAGTTCCAGAAAACATAGGAGAGGAAGACGACAGAGGGAACAGAGAAGAAAAGAATCAAGAGATATTGAGATAATACCAATTCAATTTGCCCTAATCGAATTGGGTATTTTGCTTTGTGTTTGTAAATGTAAATTTACAAGATACCTCCTATTGTTTTACACTAACATTGAACAAGGTCTATTTGATAACTAATGTTTAATAAATTATAAATGTTTATAAATTTAATGATATAATTGGGTATTTATAATGTACTAAATACTAATGTAGTAAATTTAATGTTATAAATTATTAATGTTTATAATGTAATGTACTAATGTTGTAATTAATTAAATAATTAAGTAATTATAATATAATGTTATAATTAATTAAATTTCTAATCATTTAATAAAAGTATTGTACTAATGTTTATAACGTAATATTATAATTAATTAAGTAATCATACTATAGATCTATAATATAATGTTATAATTAATTAATTTTTTAATCATTTAATTATGTAATGTATTAATATTTATAATATAATGTCACAATGAATTAAGTAATCATTCTATAAATCTATAATTTAGTATTATAATTAATTAAATTTCTAATAATTTAATTAAATATTGTACTAATGTAATAAATTATTAATATAATGTCATAATTAATTAAGTAATCATTTAATTATGTAATGTTATAATTAATTATGTGATCATATTATAATGTAATGTTATAATAGATTAAGTAATCATACTATAAATTTTTAATGTAATATTATAATTAATTAATTTTCTAATTATTTAATTAAGTATTGTAATAATATTTATAATGGAATGTTATAATTAATTAATTAATCATTTGTTTATAATGTAATGTTATAATTAATTAAGTTTATAATTATTTAATTAAGTAATGTACTATATTACTAATATAATGTTATAAACTTATAATTAATTAAATAATTATTTAACTATAACGTAATATTATAATTGATTAAGTAATCATTTAACTAGTAATGTATTAGTATTTATTAATTTATCATATATAATTAATTAATTACTAATTTACTATAGATATACTTAAAACTTGGTAATTGAAGTAAACAAATAAATATTATATTATTATTCAATCAAATATACTATTTTATTCAAAAATAATTCTTTTAATAACATTAAAACACATTTAATTAGATCCTAATTCCAATCATACAATTAATTAATTAAAACTTTAATATTTATATATTAAAGCTTTTTTTATAGTGTTGTTTATATGTAATAAGTATAATTATATATTTGTTTAATTAGGTTATTGTAAAAATTTAATTTTTTCCATTTTAAATTTTTTTATATGTAAAATTACAAGAGACCCCCATTCTTCACAAATATTTTATTTCAGCCCGGGTTCCAAAACAAGTTTTAATCCGGGTACTCGTCATCGGTTCCAAACAGGTTCCAAACCGGATACCTACTACAGGTTCCAAGCAAGTTCCAAGCCGGGTACCTGCTGCAGGTTCTTTTTTCAGGTTTCGATTCTGATTCCGATTCCTCCACATGTAAGAACCAGAACAGAAACCGCACAATGCGGTTCCAATAAAATGGAATCAAAACCTACTGGCACAGTATCAATTTAGGATAGGTTTCGGTTTCAATTTTGATTATACCTACAGGTTTTAATTCTATCCGCTACTTATGCTCACTCCTAATTAGGACGTTGAGCTGCTTTAGCACTTGCTACCTGGGACCATTACCTAAAGGTCGCACTAAATATACCAATAGATGCAGATAATCAAAATTCGAAGGTCATTTCAATTAAAAAATTATCCTTGTTATGTGTGCTTTTCAAATCTCACATATTGCCACTTTTTCTTAGGAAATATCTATACTGATATTTAATGAGTTGTCTTAAGGTAAACAAACAAAAAATTTAATTCTTTTGTACACTTCATTTACATGAAAATAAAAGAACACAGTTTGCAATATATCGATATAATAAATATTTTGTTCATTTGTGGCCTTACCAGAATTTTAATAAAATATATTGACAATTTCAAGTATGACACAAAAAAGTAACTGTAATTACAACTCAATCTCATAAACTTTCTCACACACCTTCGACGTTACAATTTACAATCAGTTTCTGATAGAATTTTTTTGTCTAACCAATTACAAGCTATCACGTCAAAATTGTAAAAAAAAATTCGTGAGATTGAGTTGTAAGCCAATCTTTATTGGACACAAAATCACTAGACTTTAGTTCAATTAGTTAACATTGACATGACATGCTCACACTAACATTTTCTTTGTGCCCCTTCATGCACAAATTGTGATTTTGTCATTTCACTTAAGTACTCATTTTTTAACATCATGTTTTCAAGTGCTTTCCACTTTCTAGGATAGAGATAAATGATAAGTGTTCCAACAAGGGTAGTCTTTTTAATGTAGTCTATTCCATTCTTTTAAACTATATCACTTAGATGTCATGGCATATATATGATTCTATAACAAATTGTTCTAATATCTGTGCGTTAAGTCTCTCTTACGGTACAAAACAATGTCATTGCATCTATATATAGTTTGTTTGTTTTTTGCTACCATATATTTATGCAAGACTCCATCTTGCTTTGCTCCTGTTTTTCTTAATCTAGCTAATGTAGTTAGGAATGGAGTTATTGCTCAAATCCCAGACTTATAAAGAATTCAATATAAGGAATGACAGTAGAATTACTAAACTGTCATGTACTTGAGAACAGCTGCACGGACCTTTTCCATGAACACTGCCACTTGTTTCTGCAAGGAATCAAACATATGAAATTCATGAGTTATTCTCCAAGTCAAAAGTAGCAATTTATGAACTATTATTCATTAGTAATTACTAACATACTATGCATAGAAACTAATCTTATTGCTTTCTAATTTTGAAGTTATTTGCCAGATAAAGCACATAAAATATAGTCAGATGCTTACACAAACATTAATTTTCCTGATTCTTTATGTATAGCGGCTATCAAGGCATAACACTAAGGCAATCCACGTGCAACATGACTACTCAAGTGAATGTAACATTGAAGGAGATAAAAAGAAAATTTAGGTTATCAAATTAGAACTTTCAATCAATGTACTTGGAAGGTAACTGGATGTATTTTACCCAAAAATGATAAAAAATACGGCTCCTTGTTTATTAGCAAAAACCCTAATTACATGTCAGAGTAGATGACAGCGAAGAGTGTGTCTCATGATACAATCAAGCAATGAGGAATAGTTTTAAGGGGAACAAAGGGAGGTGAACTCTACAATGTTGACATGTGTATAAATCCAGTCGTCCATGGGACACTCAACACTCATTTACAGAAAATAACTGTATGTCTGGATAATTCTAGGTCACTAGTTGAAATTCCTATTAGTTGGTGGAAGATGTGAATAGTGATGAAAAATAAATGTGTGCACCAGAAATAATGACTATCATAAACTTTGGTGCGATAAGGGTCACCTAAAAGCTTGACTGATAAAATGACTCTTAAGGGCATGACGAAAAGCGGCAAAGGGTTACACTACTTGTCTATAATGAAGTCAGATTGAAATTTGAAGAATGCACTCTTAAAACTTTTAGATTGATGGATGAAGTCATTATCAACTCAATGATATGATAATTAATAGAATAAACTTTCAGTTTCACCTGCCGGATATGAGAACGAGGTTCAAAATGAGAATGTGATTATAAAGTTCAAATTTACTATGATGACAATCTAGAGAAATAAAAGTCAGATCAAGTCTACAGGCTCAAACTTTATATGAAAGATAAGTCAAAGACTCACAGTGGAGTAATTTCTCATAATTTATATCATATGGATGATGACATCATACTAGTTCAAGATGTTAGACATCAACAAGAAGAAACAAGCTGAAAATCAACATAAAGGGTAGAACTCAATTCAAATTTGACATATGAATTAGTGATCAAGTTGGGGAACATATTAATCTATCTAATTACATTTATGTGATTATCTATACATTGGTGGGCAGTGCTAAAGTATACTGTGAAAGGGTTCAATTCCATTCTTTGCAAACATAATCAATGGAAAAAAGGTGTTCTAATAAGTTACATCACGTGTTTGTCCCCTCACTTCCAAAAAGAAAAAACTCTATGTTATCCTTTACTCTCTGTTCTTTGATTTTGTTATGTTGCTACTTAGTATAGGGGGACCTTGGCACTCCTATACTCCATATCAACATTATAAAATCAAAACATGACAGATTTCACAAGAAGATAAAAGTAAATATTTCCAACAATACTAACCTGGTCACCCTTTTGTGCATTTGCTATGTTTTCATCTAGAAGTGTCAATAAGGATCTATTGATTTCATTATGTTCAACCATTTCCAGTAACTGCATAAGAACATAAAGTCAACCCTGATGAATAGCAAATCATACAAAATAAAAAAAATGTATCAAATATGGAGGCTTGATGAGTTAACAAAAAAAAGTAAAGACATACAGTTGCTTTCACATCCTTTGAAGTCAAGATTTTAGATAGACTTTTTTTGGCTGTTATAAGGTCAGACTGCATTTTGTCATAGGCTTCTGTAAACCAAGAAAAGAGCCAACAGTTGAGCATCAGTTGTGAATAAAAAAATTTCTGAATCCTTCAGCACCACGGTCAAGACTAAAACAAACTAAAAGGAAAAAGAAAAAGAAAAAAAAAAACCTGTTCCTTCTTGTAGAGCCTTCTGTAATGTTTCCAGCTCAATCAATCTGTCTTCAATATCCTACAAGATCCATCAGTGGTTTCATATCATAGTTCTATGTAATTATGCTATAACATCATTTCAAATACGAGCAAAGTTTCCATACAACGGATGTATCGTACAATCAACTTATTATGAGGTGAGTGCATGTCATATAGGCTGACGCGGCACCCCATGATTGGTTAGCTGTATGTTCATCCACTGTAAAGAAGTTATTTTTTTTTCCCATGAAATATATAGTTGAAGAATGAACCTCAGTTTTTGAAACAGCAAAGCGAAGTTGACCTATTTCAAATTGCAGGTGTGAGAAAAACTCCTGGTTCAATCTGCAAAATTCATATGTTACAATTGCATTACTAAAGGAAAAACATCAAGCTGTGAAGTAAAACACATCCCATTCATTGAGACGATAAAAATAGTGATGCCACAAAGAGGATAACATATTAAATAAGGTGGAAACAAAAGAAGGGAAGTCACAGGCAAGTCAGATTCACATTCTCGAGGTAATGGTGTCCTTGTCCATACTTTTATAGAATTTACTGGAAATGGTTTTTTCAGTAAAGTTGCCACAGCCATCGCTTTTTTCCAACGGTCAGAAGGGCAATAGTGGCTCACAAGTCTGCTCTCACCAACAAATTCAGTGTCGAGATCAGGGTCAATGAGGAAACTAGTTTGCATGTATTGTTAGACTAATCAAATGACATACAAAAGTAGTTACTCTCTGCAAACACTCATAGCCTAATTTTTCCCTATGAATTTAAAGAGTTGGGTGTTTAAAAATAAACATGGGAATCACTTTCACATAGACTTAGGGACCTAAAGGTTTTGCAGATACAAGTTAAGATTCTCCAATTTTAAAGGTTACGAATCCTTTTGCAGAAGTAAACAGCCAATCAAATTAGTTTTGCAACAAATTTGCTGTTGATATAAATCTTCATCATGCGAAACACAAATAGTGTCACGTCCTAGTGTAGAAGAAGATAGCTGATTAGGACAAAAAGCATAATAAAAGGCCAAGAAAGTAGTAAAGTAATCGCCTTAATCTTCTGCTCTGTATCCACTCCCACCACAGTAGATGATAAGGGATTTGCTAAAGTTATATGACCCCCTCTCTCCAAAGAGAGAAACCCCACGGGCAAACGATTTCCACGGAGGAGAAAGTACCAAAAGGTAACTCAATTCCAAGAAAGGAAGTCCCAACAAAAAATAGGGAAGAAGAAACCAATAAAGGAAAAAAAAATATCAAACCAAAGAATGAAAGAATAAAAAAACCCAGCTTATTAAAAAGGAAGTAAAATTAAGCCCAAAAACCTAGTCAGAGAGAATTCTCTTTACAAATAAACATCAATCTTCTTAATCTTGGAAGAAGCCAAATATAAATCAAGTGGTACGCATTTTTTAAAATATAATATTCTCTTCATGTTAACATAAAATAAAACATAGAACTAACCGTGGCCTCAGCCTCGCTATTTCATACTCAATCTCTTGAGCTTCAGTGTCAAGAAAATACTCTATCAACTCCGCTGAAGTATCCGGTATAACCCGAGACTAAAACAATCCCATCATCCAGCAAAAATAATATAACATTCACAAAAAAACCAATGTTATTTAACTATAAATTATATATACAAAGATTCAAAATTTACTTGGCGAAGAGCTCTACGACGCTTGGTTTCTTCACGAACATGTTGCTCAAAGGCTTCTCGTGCCTCAACATCCTTCTCAAGTCGTCTTTTAAACTCTAATCTTGCAATATGGCCCGTCTGGGCCGGCCCCAAAATGCCTTCTGGGTCCTTCAAAAACAATTAGTGTTCAAATCATATAAATGATAAAAAATTCCTTAAAAGAAAGATAAATTTCTATTTATTTATTAAAATTGTTACCCATCCAATGCAGGAGATTCTGAGCCTGGAAAAGGAAGGTCTTTGGATCTTACGGATGGTGCTAGTTGTAGAGGTGGTGGCCGGTGCGATGCCTATTGAGAGAGTGGCCATTGGATTGTAATGACGCCATACATGATCAATAATAAGATTCCAAGGTTCTCCTAAGCAAGGGTGCCTACTACTTATTCTACATATATTAAGTGGTTTTTGAAACCCAATTGGAAAAAAAACATATATAGTTTACACTCAAGTTTCATTTGATACAATTTCATGAATAAACTTTAAGAGAAAATATGAAAAGGGAGAGAACTAAGAAGCAAGGAAGCCATAATTTATCCATAATTTTTATTGATTAAAACTTATTATTTCTTAGAAATATTTCTCTAGGATAAACACAAAACAACATTATTATTTTACGGAGAAATCACATAATTGCATTGTATGCAACCTGATTATTCAAAAATATCCTTTCAATAAAATTACAATTTATGCTGAATAAAAAAACTAAGACAATCAAATAAAATAGCGATACATGAGCAAACCAAATTAAAAAAATTAACATTTCAACAATCTAGATAAAGGGTACACCTAAATTAATGGAAATTCAGTTATAAAAGAAATTAATAAAACAAGAGTAAGGGAAAGAGAAGGATATATATACCAATAGCTGCCATAGCAAAGACAGAGAAGTTTCTTCTGTTAGTGTGGCGTGAATTGAAGAACTTGGGAGACAAAGAAGAAGTGGAAGTGCTTCCCAAGAAATGAGAAGGTCGTAAAGGGAGACCCAGAAAGCGAGCAGGAGAAGAGAGAGGGACATGGCTCCTTTGAGAATTGAGATGGGATATTGAGGAAGAACAGGATGCTGTTATCCTCTCAGCTGCCATTTTATTTTTTCTTGCTTGGATAAGGAGAAGAAGAGGTGGTGGTAACGAGTTGTTAGCTTTTGGCTCTTCGTAGCTTTCTACTTTTCTTAACGTGGGCTACCAAAATAGAAGTCTAAACATTCCATTTCTTTCTTTTTCTTTTTAAACAGAACACGACAATAAAGAATGCTCAAATGTGTTAATTAACAATAACTCCACGTTTTATATTTATTTTGAAATTGAAAAAAAAAATTATTAAGAAATAAATTAGGAGTCATACTAAATATAAAAAATTGGAAATATAAGAAAACTATTACAGTGTTTTTAAAAATTTAAACTTAACCTTTGTGTAAATTTTAATTAATTTATGAGAAAATATGAGTTAAAAGGGCTCTTATTACAAAACCCCCATAGTTTTCAGAAATTCCAAACACAACCACTAGTATCAAATATAAGAGGCTAACCTCATTACTTTATAAATCGTTAATAATAATTTGTTATAAAAGAAAATGGCATTTCTACCCTTCTAACGCTAAAACCTCTTCACCTTCTACCCGTCAACTCTGAAAATTGACAAAATCACACCCCTTTATAAACCTAAAAACCAATAACGATACTAGAGCAGCATAAAACCAAATCAAGCCTCATTAACTGCATCACCTGTGGCACAAGGCCTTATTGAACACCTCACTAGCGGTACAAGGCCTAATTAGACCCTAAGTTGTCGAGAAAGCGGCATGAGGCCAGGTCAGGCCTCTTTGACCAGTGTGAAAGTGGCACGAGGTAGGTTAGGCCTTTCTAGGCTTTGGGAAAGTGACAATATGCCCTTCTTAAAAGAGAAAAATAAGTTGTGTTAGAAAAGACATTATGGATATAATTCAAACTGAAATACCTTTCTTATAAGTTTAAAATTATAGCTATACCTTAACTTTCGCTAACCTTAACAGACAAAACTAACAGAATAGAGGCTAGCCTCCTATTTCTAATATTGGTGGGTGCTTTAGAAGTAGTTGAAAACTATAGGGGTTTACTGAGCAAAACATTAATTAAAATATAGATATAGAACATTTCATGAAAAAAAAAAAAATTAAAATATAAAAAAACTTTGTAGTATCCCAAACTTTGAATTAAGTAAAGGTAAGTGATCCACAAATTGAAAATCGAGGAGGAAAAGGTGTCACATAGCTTGGAATTAGGGATATTATTAATTAGGGTACAAACTTTTCAACTAGCAATCTGGACACCACCGCGAGGAGGCAGTAAACGAACAAAAATTGAGCACACGTTTGTTCAACCTCCAATTACTGTTTATCCAATGCCCTGTCAAAACCATGTACTGAAGTTTTTTATTACTTGAATTCCACAAATCGGTAGTCAAACTAATTCTATAAACATTCCTCAAAACAACCTTCAACCTTTTCTTTTCCAATTCATACACCCTTTGACAATCATTATTACTTGTGAAGCACGATATTCTTTCCCAACTTGGAATCCCATACTTTAGCATATTATTAAAACCCTCTTGCTCCACAACTGTGAATGGGTGCTCATGCATAAGCACCCGTTGCGCTACTAGCTCCCTTATCTAAGCCATCTCAAACTTGCCACCTACAAGAGGAGGTATCGCACTTCCTCCCTTAATTAAATGTGAAGGTGGAAAATTTATCTGTTGTTGTTGCCTCTGAAAAACCATTCGCCTTACACTCCCCTTCAAATGTCTTGAAAACTGAATAGTGCTTCTAGTTGCAGTAATGGACAGTTTGGACTTACAATGAATGCATTATGCCTTCTTCGTATTGTCAGGTTGATTAACCTCTCTAAATTTTGTCCATATAGGAGATGTCTTCGCTATTTTCTTCCTTTGGAATGGGTTATCATCATTTTCTTCTTCAACAAGTGGACTAGTACCACAAGTTGCACTTGCACTTGCATCCGTATTAGTTGTGGCATGAAGGTTAGACAAGTTTGGGGTTTGAAATGATGAAGTTGAGTCAACCAACGTGGGTCAGCTACTAGATAAGCGTTCCATACCTATAATGAAAGAATTAAGCAACTGTTAGAGTTTATTTATACCTATAGCAAATGAAGTAGAAAAGAAAAGAAAAAAATATATTACTCTACTATCCTTTTAACAGCATCAGTTAAAAGGAACATTTTTTTTTTTGGGTAAATCCGATAATTATATTAGAAAAGAATAAAGACAGAAACGGAACAAGCAGCCCCCTCAATACGCTACCTTTGGACGAATTCGAAATATTTTTTAGAACTAAAAGTTAGTTCAAGGAAGGAAGATATTTTGCACTAGGATATATCTAGTGAAATTAATATAAAGTTATAAGTTTTTTATTGCTTCTCAAATTATTATTATTATTTTCTAATTCAAGTTGTATCTTTAATGAAAAATCAGTTGGAAAGAAAACCTTAAAGACTTAAGTTAATTATATTATTTTATTTTTCGGTAGAATTGTTTCTTATACTTCTAGTAACATAAAAATGTTCTTTTTTTTTTTCTTACTGCTTCTTGAATTCATATTTTTTATTAGTCTTAGTCAATATGATTTTATTTTATTTTATTTTTCAAATTGTTGGTAGTGATTTTAATCTTAATAGTTGTTTGTATTATTTAGTTTTATTATATCAATGGGCTAATTATTTGTATTAATTGTTTTTGTTTTAATTATTTTGAACTTTTAATTTAAAAGAAATTGAAAAATAATAGAATAAAGGATCTTCATGGAATTTATGGAGTGTAATAAGAAAAAAGTTAAATTTCAAAACCTTGAAAAAGAGTATTTTAAAAAGCGGGTCCTCTTTAGTTAAAAAACTAGTTGAAAGGCCTTTACGTTTTTTGGTTTTTTTTTTAATTTGTTTTTTTTTCTTTTTTTTTTTTATTATTTGTATTTAAATGGTGGATATTTTAAAGATAATAACAATGGTTCGGCATATTATAATGGTTCCGAATAATACAAATTGATAATTCTACAATAAGGTTTGGAAATCAAATAGACATTTTATCTTTTTCAGTTGAAGTGAAACCTATATTCGACAGAGGCTTATTACATTAATATATTATGAAGTATGGTTCGACATAACTACAAAAGTAAGAATACATAACGATAATATATAAATTGTAGTTCGGCAATAGCTTAACACAATTATTCACTCGAATTTATGGTTTGAAATCTGTTATATCAAAAATCATTAATAGAGAAATATGTGGATCGACAACCAAACTGTGAACTAACGTATCTATTATAACCATGGATAAATTAAATTTCGATACATGGTTTATTACAATTCTATAGAAAAATAATAGTTAACTTTAACTAAATTTTTCATATATTGGTGAAACTTATGAAAATCAGAGAACCTATCCAATATATTTTACTCATATTGATGATTCTTCAAAATTTTATTGAAATCAAACAAACATTTTATCTTTTACAAATGTAGTGAAACCTATGTTCGGCAAAGGCTTATTATAGTGATTCATTATAAGTTATGGTTCGGCTGATGACTTGCTAAAATTATATATTAATGAAACAGCATGGTTCGGCATGTGCATTCACCTAACATAAATATTAGACAAAATATTGAATAATGGTTCGACATTGTTTGGATGACTTCCTACAATTCAACAGCCAAAATAATGAGTCGCATGATTTTATGAGTCTACTTTCTAATGCATTTAATTTGATAGAAATATTATCATATATTGGAGAAACTTATGAAAATTAGAATGGATATTTATTGAGAAAGGTATGACCTATTTATTATTGATTGTTCAGTGAAACCCGAGAAATAGGGGAAACCAAAATGTGTGTGATGATAAAAATGAATGGTTTTCTCATCACTAAAATTGAATTTGTTTTTTGTGTGTGATGATAAAATAAATGGTTCGGCAGCAAGTCTATAGTTATCAAAATTCATCACATAATATATAAAATTAAAGCTATATCTGTATAGTTTCCAAATATTCAAACTGCTCATCAATTGGATTTTTATTGAGCAAGTTATGACTAATTTACTACTTACTGTTTAGTGAAAATCGAGAAACAGAGGAAACCAAAATATGTGTGATGATAAAAAGAATGGTTCGACAGTGGGGCTATAGTTATCCAAATTAAGTGTATAGTAAATTTTTATTGAGCAAGTTATGATTAATTTACTACTGATTGTTTAGTGGAAACCGAAATGTGTGTGATAATAAAGAGAATAGTTTGGAAATGGGGCTATAATTATCCAAATTAAGCATATAATATA